CGGGTGGCGAGAGGGGAGCAGGGAACTGCCGGCAAGCTGCGGGGGGGCGCTGTCGGGTGGCGAGAGGGGAGCAGGGAGCCGCGGGGGGCGCTGTCGGGTGGCGAGAGGGGAGCAGGGAACCTGCCTGCTGCCAATGGTGCTCTCCGGGGGTTTGCATTATTCCCTTTGCAGTGCTGTCTCTACTTCCTTATGGCTGAGGAACCTGAAAACCATGTCCTGGGTTTACTGGTGCAGAGCCCCAGCCCCGCTTCCCTTTGTCCCCTCATCGGGTGGGCTGGCAGGGCAGCTCTGGGCAAAGGCAGGCTGACCTGTCTCTGCCTATGGGATACTTTCTCAGCGTGTTACCCCCCCCCCCGCCTCACCACGTGACTCTCGCTGGTTCTAAACGGTTTGTCAGCCCCCGGGCTAGCCACCTCTCTTGGATGGTCAGACACAACACATCCTGCATCTTGGCAGGGGGTCAGACTAGATGACCCTTGCAGTCTCTTCTAACCCTTTGGTTCTCTGACACCCCCAAACAATCTCCCCAGGATCACTTGATGATTCCCTGTTCTGTTCATTCCCTCTGGGGCACCTGGCGTTGGCCGCTGTCGGAAGACAGGATACTGGGCTAGATGGACCTTTGGTCTGACCCAGTCTGGCCATTATGTTCTTATGCCAGCCCCCACTTTGCCTTGCAGGTTAACACTTGATGTGCTCAGTCCCCCAAATCCTCCAAAACTCCCCCCTGTAGTATCCAACCCTGTCAGTAATTACCAGGTTCCCTAGTCCCAAGGGAGCAGTCTACGCACCAGCTTGTTTGATTCAGCTGAGGGTTCACATTTGACTTAATACCACAGCACTGAGGCGGATTTAAAATAAAATCCAAGGATCAGGTTATTAACAAAGAACAGAGTTTCAAAGACTCGTGAATAGTGAGTGTGAATATTGGAAACACGTGAGAGTATAACAGGTCTCTTGGAGTTTTAACTTGAACAGGCTGAATTCCTTGTCTGAAGTAAGTTCTCACCTCCCATAGTCAGGACCCAGCGCTCACCTTCCTGCTTCCTCAGTGATGGGGGGATGGTGCTGACTTGGCCCCCCAGTATTTGAAGTGCATCCTTTGGTTGTGCACCCTCAGAAAAAACTCTTTGCCCCACTGCTTGGTTTCCTGTGTGCTCCCTTCCTGTTGACTTGGGGTGCAAACGTAGCTCCGTGTGTTTGGCTTCGAATGGTTAATGTCCATCTGAACCAAGGCAGGTGAATCAGCATCCGATGCCTGGCAGCAAACTCTTTTGTCGGCGCTGCCTCCGGAGCACGTGTTCGGGACGGATTTTCAGCGCGCGCACAGCCCCTGCCATATCACCCGGCTGTACCTCCCGCAATGAGAATGAGGTTCAGTCTGATGTGAGTGGTCATTGGACACCTCCCACGCCCTTTGGAATAACTGCTGTGAAAGCAGCGGGTTAGTTGTAGTGAGTTTGTCAGGCCTGATAGGCAGTGCTGGGACGGGAGAGCGAACCCACTGCGGGGTTCTTCAGGCCACACCGCAGCGAGCAGCCTCTCCAGCTGGGGGGTGTCCCTGGGGTTTGAGGCCAGCAGGGCTCCTCTAGCCTGACCTGTGTAATCTGGGTGTGTCTCGCTGCAGGTCAGAACCGCTTCCCGGGCTGCCGCTGTAAGACGCAGTGCAACACCAAGCAGTGCCCGTGCTACCTGGCCGTGCGGGAGTGCGACCCTGACCTGTGCCTGACCTGCGGGGCGTCGGAGCACTGGGATTGCAAGGTGGTCTCCTGTAAGAACTGCAGCATCCAGCGGGGCCTCAAAAAGGTATTTGTTGTGCCCCTCCCCCAGTGTGCAGAGCAGCTGGGCTGGAGCAAATCCACCCCTGCTGCTCTGTCCCCCCTGGCCGCAGCCTCCCCGGAGATCAGGCCTGAGCTGAAGGGGGCGGGGGGTGGCTGGGCTGTTCCCTAGCTCCCGAAGGGTTTTCAGGTTCAAAGGCAGGGTTTGAACTAACAGTGACGCAAGAGGAGGCCCCGGGAACAGGAGCCGCCTGGGGAAGCACAGGAAGGAACAGAACTCAGGGGAAGGGGTGAGATCCTTAGAAAACAGGCCAGGGTTCAACAGGACTAGTGGAGCTGCAAGGAAAGTGGCTGTAAGGAGCCGGGGCCACTGCTCACAGTAACAGCTCGTCCGGGGCATTTGTCGTTTGGGATGGTAACTCCCTGAGGCTGGGACTGTGTCCCCCTGGGCGTGCAGCACCTGGTGTGATGGGTCGAAGCTCCTAGACGCAGCGGTAATACCAGCAATGCATAAAGGAGCACTAGGGGGCAGGGGAGCCGATTCCCGGGGGGCGCTGGGCTTGTCTGCATGTTGTCGGGGTGTTTTCCTTCCATTGCACACGCTGCTGGGCAGCAGCTCTGCAGACTCAGCCGAAGTCTCTTGCACTCTAGCATTTGCTGCTGGCTCCATCAGATGTCGCTGGCTGGGGGACATTCATCAAGGAATCGGTGCAGAAGAATGAATTCATCTCTGAATATTGTGGTGAGGTTAGTAAAGCCATCTCGGCCCGTCCCCATGGGTCCGGGGTGACGCAGACGTGCCTAGCTACCGTTCTTGGGGCCGCAACCCCACGGGTTTCACAGCACCGGTTAACAAGCAGTCCCTGCCCTCATGCTTGTGGGGCTCAGTTCATGTGCGTAGTTAGAGGAAACCATTAGAAGATTTTCTCAGCTTTCCCCACCCTCAAAGGTGCATAACAATGAGTGAGACCCATTAACCGCCCAGGGGCCTAGCGAAGGCTAAGGGGAAAGGCTGGGATGGAGCAGGGCTGGGTCCTGGCCCAGACTCACTGGGTGATCTTGGGTGAAGATTGTGAAAATGGCCTTGGTTTGGGGAAACGAGTTTTCAGGAGTCCAGCCTGAGCCGGTCTGTGGAGGGGACCGAGCGACCGCCCATTGAAACAGCTGGGAGCTGTGGGTGCTCGGTATCCTCTGCAGCACAGGCCCAAGGGCTGGGAACAGGAAAGCTGCCCCTGTCTCGGTGGGTGAAAGCACTCGGCCCCTCGGAAGATGCATGTCGTTTGGGTGCCCGGCATGGCAGGAGTGTAGCGTGTGAGCCAGGCCTCGTTCGACGTGGTCGGCCATCTGCAGAGGGAGGCTACGATACACGTGCTGGCCGGCGGAGCACAGGGAGGCTCTCCCTGAGCCGGCCGCCCAGCAGCCTCTGCCCCAATGCAGAGGGACTGTTCCCTGGCCCTGGCGAGCCCCGTCCCCCGGGACACAGTGTAACACCTGCCCGTTTCCCAGCTTATTTCTCAGGACGAGGCCGACCGGCGTGGGAAGGTCTATGACAAGTACATGTCCAGCTTCCTCTTCAACCTCAACAACGGTAACTTCCCAGCCGGGGACCCGGGTTCCTTAGCGTCACTCAGGGCAGTGCCTGGCTGTGGGGGGGGGAGGAGCTGACAGCAGCCGCGCCCGGAGGAGTTTCCCAGGCTCGACACTGGCTTGGCCCAGGCACTGTGCTTTCGGGATCACCTGGGGTGTCTCCCCATTGCCACAGCTGCTGGATGCCTGCCTCTGCAGTCCTGGGCCAGGCTGCTCTGTGACGCCACCGCCTGAGCTCCCTGTAACCGCCTGGCACTTGGCAGCACCGGGGGCTCAGTGGCTGCCCCGTGGTTTTGAGGACAGAATCAAACTCTAGAAAGGCAAAGCTGTGAGCCCCGAGCAGGGCTGGAGAGCAGCCAGGCCAGAGGGATTCGCTTCCTGAGCTCTCGGCTTGGCTCCGGGCTGTGGAAACAGGCAGCGAATGCACTCAACCCCTGGCGGTGCTGGGATCCGTGTAGGAGCAGCCAAGGGACGTGACTCCACGACAGGTTTTGGGTGAGCTGGGGGATCTGGCCCCCGTTGGCTTTTCCTGAGGAATAAATTCCTTACGGCAAAGACCCTCCAGAGCCCAGGAGGATTTTGTGTGCCCAGCTCTGAAGAGCAGCTGAGTTCAGAGGCCATTGTGCTGCTCTGGCTCTGGGGCAGAGCTTCCCGACTCGCTGAGTGGAGCCGAGCCCGGGGGGGGGGGGGGGGGGGGGGGGGAGGCGCGGCCCCGGGGGGGGGGGGGGGGGGGGGAGGGGGGAGACGCCGAGCCGAGCCCCGGAGCTAGTGGGATCTTGGTCTGCCGGGAATCTCAGGGTTCTGTGGTTTCCTTTCCTAATAGATTTCGTTGTTGATGCCACCCGCAAAGGAAACAAAATCCGCTTTGCCAACCACTCTGTGAACCCCAACTGCTATGCCAAAGGTGAGAGCTCTGCCCAGCCGCAGCCAGACAGGGAATCCGGGAAGTGCCCACGGAGCCCTGGGTGACGCGGGGTCTCCTGAGCCTCTTGGAAGCATCCTCGGGGTCTGTGAGCTCTGGGGGGGCTGAACCCCAAAGGAAAGGCCGAGTGTTGGGTTTCCAGGCACTCCCCTGCAGTTGGGTCCTCTCTGCTCTGCCAGGCCCTCCTGCTGCTCAGTGGGAGCGGAGCGCCCGGGGCAGAGCCTGCTGGCCAGCCAGACCCCTGGGGGAAGCCGGGCTGGGAGCCGAGCCCTGACCCCTTTCTCTGCCGCAGTGGTGATGGTGAACGGAGACCACCGGATAGGAATCTTTGCCAAGAGGGCCATCCAGGCTGGGGAGGAGCTCTTCTTTGATTACAGGTGAGCCGGGGCCTGGCTACTCGGGTGTGTGGTGGGAAGATCTCTAGAGCAGTGGTCTCCAACCTTTTTACACCCAAGATCACTTGTTTGAGTTTAAGGGCAACCCAGGGTCTACCCTGCCCCTTCCCCAAAGCCCGGCCCCACTCACTCCATTTCCCCTCCCCCGTCACTCGCTCTCCCCCACCCTCACTCACTTTCACCTGGCTGGGGCAGGGGGTTGGGGCTCAGGGGGGGGTGCGGGCTCCGGGCTGGGGTTGAGGGGTTTGCAGTGTGGGAGGGGGATCTGAGCTCAGCCTGGGGCAGGGGGTTGGGGTACAGGAGAAGGTGAGGGGTGCAAGCTCTGGGAGGGAATTTGGGTGCAGGGAGGGTATGGGGTTCTGGCTCTGGGGCTTGGGGTGCAGTGCTTGCAGGCAGGAGCAGTGCGCGGAGGGAGACCCCTGCCCCCGGGGTCGTGCTGGCCGCTTCCGGGAGTGGCGTGGGGCTGGGGCAGGCAGCCCCGCTGTGCTGCCGGAGATGGCGATCGACCGGTTGGTGACCACTGCTCTAGAGACGGGCTGGTGGTAAAGAGGCTGCTGGGGAAGCGACTACGTGCCAGTGTCCCTGTCTTGCAGGTACAGCCAGGCCGATGCCCTGAAGTACGTGGGCATAGAAAGGGAGACGGATGTCATCTAGCCCCCCGCGGGCACGGCCCCTGCTCCTGGCTGCCCCAATGCCGTGTTCATTCCATGCTCCATCATTGCCCCTGTTCCCGTTGCTGTGTGTCCCGAGTGCTCCGCTCCACCCAGGCGCCTGGGAGCAAAGCCCAGGGCAGGAGCAGGAGCCAGACGCTGCCTGGGGTAGCAGGACCCTGGCTCGGTTCCGGGGCAGGTGGGTGCTGGCGCTCCTGGGCTGGGACGGCTCCAGAGACTGAGGCCGTTGGACTGGAAGGAAGAGGCTTGGCCAAGCAATGCTCAGTCTGTTTGTAAACCTGCCCGAGCGACCAGCTGCATCTGGAGCCAAGGGCCCTTGGAGCGACCCCCCTGCATGCGGGGAGCGGGTGCTTGATGTTGTTCTGCTCATGCCGCAACCATTGGAGGGAGCTTTTATCCCTGGGGCATCTGTGGCTACCTCTCGATTTCCTTCCATGCTGAAGTGCTGGGGCCTAGGCTGCTAGCACATGGTCAGACCCCACGGAGGGTCAGTCCCGCCTCCCTGCAGCGTGGCTCTGGGGGCCCCGGGCGCTCCCGGCCGCCTGGCGAGAGGGGGGAGCCGCCCAGCACAGCGTGTGGAGGGGTCCCCGGGGCGAGGAGTTACGCTGGTGCCAGGAGGAGCCGAGTGTGTGTCTGTCGTGGGGTTGCCTTAGGAGCCAGAGGAAGGGGGCAGGAAACGCGAGGCCGGCTGGGGCGTGGGAGGCCCCAACTCCCACCGGCCAGGCTCTGCGGAACGCCAGGTGGATGACGTGTTTCTGCCTCTTGCGCTGGACGGGCTCTTGGAGCCTGGTGTGTCGCGCAGCCCCTGCTCTGCAGAACTGGGGCACCACAGGCCATGCGTGGCTCCAGCTCCCTGTGCCTGGGACTAGTGGGGGGCAGCCTGGGCCCTTCCCGTGTCAAGTCTTCAGCCCGTAACAGGTGGGCGGCACTGCGGAGACGGCACCTCGCGGCCATGGGTTCTTCTTGGCCCCTGGTGGTTTCTGTTCTGTCAGCCAGGTGAGTGGTGCTGCTGCTGGCGCGTCACTGACGCAGATGCTTTAACCCGCATCTCTGCAGGGCTGAGAACCTGGCACTGCCCCTGGGGCTGGGACTCGGGCTGCTCCACTCCCCATCCTGCCAGAGCCAGGCAGCGCTGGACACTGAACTACCGGGCACTGCTCCACGCTGACCAGCGAGTGGGGCTGGGGCCTCTCTGGGGCTGCAAAGTGGGGCTGGAAGTATGGGTCTCCCACGGGAGATCAGAGAGCTGCTGGCTCGCAGATAGCGCAGAGCTTTCTGCTTGCCCAGCGCTGGGCTGGGTGCTCCAGCGTGTCACAATGGAGCCGGCAGGTTCCCCTGGGCCGGGCTGCCCCAGCAGTACCCGTTAGGCACTTTACGAGCCCCGCTTGGCTCCCCGCTCCGGCCTGGAGCTTCTGCCATTGCACAGAACTCTTCTGGGGGTGGCATTTGGAGCAGCGAGCGCTTTGCCTGCTGTGAATACGTTGCTGGCGCTGCTGTGGCCGGTGACCGCCAGCAGCTCTGTTGCGCCAGGCCCCCTCCCAGCAGTGCAGACCGGAGGGGCAGGCTCCCCAGAGGTGGAGAGCAGGGCAGGGTCTGCTCTCAGCACCCCATGCAAAGAAATCAAGTGAGCACTTTAAACTAAGCCTCCCACCCAGCCAAGGGGCTGGGACCGGGCGGCTCTGGGTTTGAGGACACTGCTGCCAGCCCAAGGTACCATCCTTCAGTGGGGCATGTTCCCCCTCCCTCCCTCCGCAAGCCCAGCTAGTGCTGGGGGGGGGTCAGTTCAGACAGCAGGGTCGTGTCCCGGAACAGGAATGGAAGCAAGGGCTGGCTTGTGCGGGGGCTAGGGAAGCAGGAGGAGAGCCAGGCATCTGTTCCTGCCGCTGGCAGCCGAGCGGGGCCCAAGGCCCGTCCTGCCCGTGCTGCTTTCCCCCCAGGGCGGCCAGGCCCATCTCCCTCCCTGGGGCTGGCAGGGGTGTGCGCCTGGGCCCCCTTGTCTGACTGAGCGACCCACCCCTCTCCGGCCCCATACCGCCCACCCAGCTAGTGACTTGCCCCCTGCCCGTGGCTGTCTGCGCAGTGAGAGGCTTTGTGTCTGTGGTCTGCTGCCCGTGAATTATATGCACTTTAAAACTGATGTGGCTTGTAATCTTCGTCCTAATAAAGTGGTAGTGAATGTCCTCCCCAACCTGGCCGCCAGCGTCCGTTCTTACCCCAGCCTGAGTGGGAGCTCACCCCTGTGCCCCGCTGCACTGGGGCCTGGATGCACCAGAGCGCTTCACAGGAGCGGCAAGGGGCCAGTAGGATGCTGGCCCCATCCTTAGCTTGGCTCTGCCGAGAACTGCCCCTGCCCTGGAGGTGCCCTGCTGCACATGGGCACCTGGCTGCAGTATTGTTCTGTGCTGACCCGCAAGCTCGCCGCAGGCCTGACGGGGCTAACAGCAGCAGCCCTGGGGGGTAGGGGGGCACGGTGACTCCTGCAGCATCGCCCGGTGCTAGGGATGGGCACAGAACAGCAGGAGCTGCTGGTCTGAGTGGCTGGCCCTGGGGATCCCTGCTGCGCCCACGGGGGCAGGGGCAGTGCCGTACCTGGCGCTCCAGTGACCGGTAGTCACAGGGAGGGGGATGAGCGCTCGCCCTGCACAGCGTCGCTCTCCCGGGGGGGCCCCGCCGGGCCTTTCAACTGATCCAGACCCCGACCTAGTGAGTGGCCACTTGCAGCGAGCAGAGGCTGGGAGGGGGCAGCTCCTGCATGGGGCCCCCTGGACCTTGCGCTGAGCTTTCCTTGGTTCAAGGAAGCAGCTGCATGACCTACACCTGCCCCACTCTCCAGCCCCCCAGGCTGCTTCTGGGCCCGGCTCTGACCCCCCTCTCCCGTAGGCAGCAGCAGGCATGCTCCGGCACTACCACCCACAGGAGGACACTGCCCCCTGCTGGCAAAGGGGCCGTTTCACTGCCAGCACGCAGTGTCCCCAGGCAGGGAAACCCCCTTCTGCCGCTGCACAAACAAACCTGAGACTGGGGTATTGAACTCTGTCATTCTGCCTTTATTTGCACATCGTCATGTGTCAGTCAACAAAACAGCTGTAACAAATAAAACGCCCAGCAAAGCCAGGCCTTTGGGTCCCTCAATGCGTGTCTGTCCCGCTGCAGCGCGGGAATGGGAGTGGTCCCGGGGTCGGCTGGTCTCAGCAGGGCTCGCCCCTCTTGCAGAGATGTAGCACCCTATAGGCCGGGCCCCAGGACGCACTCACCCGGAGCAGCCGCCCTGGTTTCTTTTTGTTTTTTATACAAACTGAGAGAATAAAAAAACGTCGTGTGTATAATCACCCGGTCAGCAACAAAAATAGTAGAAAGACTCCAAAGGTCTTTACCTGATTGTAGGAGAGCAGCAAAGTGCGGGGGCGGGAGCGGGTGTGTGCACGAGCGAGTGTATTGCAGGTAGCGGCCGGGGCGCAGAACATGCCCTACGGGCCGTGTTCCAGGGCTCTATAGTGCATGGGTCACTTCATGGCTTTTGCTAAGCGAGCAAACAAGCGGGAAATCTAGCTGCTAGCGTTGCTAACTGGCCCCACGGAAGGCCCATGTCTCCTCCAAGGGGAAGCTGCAGTGTTTATAGGGGAGGTGGGTTGGCAGCCCCCAAACGTGCCCCACTCCCCAGGTTTGAGCTGAGAGGGCGTCTCCGGGCAGGCCCGTATCGCCCCAAGGGGCTGACATCCTGTCCATGGGGGCACAGGAGAGATTGCACCAGCTGGTTCCAGGAGGACCAGGGAGGGGGGTTGTTCTGCATGGCCCCTACCTTCCGCTCGGTGCGCAGGGCAAGGGGGTTGTTACTGCGCCAGCGCTCGGCTCAGCGTGATTCCAGGAGGAAGACGTGGGCCCTGCATGTGGGGCTCCCAGGCTAGATGGTGCTTGGCCGCAGGCAGCCCGTGGGGCGGCGCAGGCAGGGGAGGTGCAGCGGGCGGGGGAAGGAGCAGACGCCCCAGCCAGGAGCCAGGTTCTGGCAGTTCTGGGTTGCTTGGCCCCTTTGGTCCGGCAGCGCTTGGTCCCCTCCCGCCACCACGCAGGAGGTGCCAGCGTTTGAGGCATTAACCCCTTCCTTCCCCTGCAGCCAGTGGCTATTCGCCTTTCGCCTCCTCCAGGATCTGGGGCAGGTTCTGGTCCTTGTGTGGGACCAGGGGCTTGCTGGGGCCGTGGTAGTCCTGGACGGCTTTGGGCTCGTTGGTGTGGTACGAGCCCTTGTAGCGGTGGTGGTGGAGATACAGCAGCAGCAGCAGCCCGGCCAGGAGCAGCAGCAAGAAGGTCACAACTACTGGGAAGGAGGAAAACAGCCCTGAGTGCGTCTCCCTCCTGCAGCCGCGGCCTGAGCCCTCGGCCGGGTCCCCTCTCCTGCCGCAGCCTGACGGGGGCACCCGAGACAGGCCGGGCCTTGGAGCCCAGCTCCCCACTCGCGCGGCTGGGCCAGCAACCTCCCCCGGCTCAGCTATGGGCCCAGCCCAGTGCAGCCAGAACCGAGTTCTCCCCCGAGCCTCGCACCGCCCCTGCAGGCAGCCCCTTGGCGCGAGAGCAGGTGACCTCGGCTGCCGGCAGAGAGAACCCGGCCCGGCTGCCGGCTGGTGCGAACGCGCGGCCGCGTCACTTACAGCCAGTGATGATCCCGATCCAGCCGTCGTCGTGCACGTGGGGGAACTCTGCAAGAGACACGCGGCCGGGGGGTCAGCCGGGGGCGGGGGGGCAGGGATAGGCTGGTACATGGTGCACGGCTCAGCCCTGCCCCCCCAGCCCATGTGCCCAGCAAGGGGGTGGTGGGGTCAGGACCCTGCAGCCATGGACCTGCCCCCGGCCCTCCCGCCGCTGCGCTGCTGGCTGGGGCTGGCGACAGGCTGCCCGGCAAGAACCGCTCCCCCCAGTGCTGCAGGGCCCAGCCCTGACGACAGGGCTGCTGCCTTCCCACTACTCATGCATCTTGCAGCTGAGGCTGGGCATAGAACCCAGGAGTCCTGGCTCCCCCCACCCCGCACGCCTCTCCCCCTCTAACCCACTAGACCCCCCACACACGCCTCTCCCAGAGCGGGGGCTAGAACCGAGTGAAGCTGGGCGGGGCTGGCATGAGCCCTCCCTACCTGTGCCCATGTACCAGGGGTCCATTTCGGGGGGGATGTCCATGATGCTGAGGGGCATGGAGCCGCAGTTGGACTCCACCAGCTCCCCCTTGATGCTGTAGGGCACCAGCCTGCCGCTGGGGCGGAATATGGCTTTGAGGGGCAGGATGCTGTTGAACTTCACCCCTGACAGGCAGCCCGAGAAGCCGGGCGTGTTGTACTTCTGGATCTCGGGGTCGATCATGCCTGTCTCTGCAGGAGCACGGAGAGGAGGGGGTTAACTGGGGCCAGGGGTCTCCCCCAGGGGGGAGGGGGAGCAGGCTACTCTGGCCCCGTAGGGCTGGTTAGGGGGTTTCAGCTTCCATGAGCTGGGGGCGGGCGCATGGGTCCCAGCCTGTCCGTGGTGGCCACTGCCAGGGCCCCAAGCTGCCAAGGAGCAGGGCAGAAGGGGCAGGGCAGTTCCCCGGGGCGTCTGGAGGGGGACAG